TTCAAGAAACAGGCTGATAACGTTTCTCTCGGCACTATATCTCATCTGCTAATGTCCATTTTTATAGGCGGCGCTCACTGTCCAAACACCAGTGCTTTGCAAGAGGCACGCAGCTGTAACGAGCATGCCTGTACTGTGTACCACTGGCAAACCGGTCCCTGGGGCCCATGCATTGAGGACACCTCAGTATCGTCCTTCAACACCACTACCACTTGGAACGGGGAGACCTCTTGCTCTGTTGGCATGCAGACAAGAAAAGTCATCTGTGTGCGGGTCAACGTGGGCCAAGTAGGACCGAAAAAGTAAGGGCTTTCGAATGTTAGCAGTAAATCCTGCGGCCAGCCATGCAAGGGATTGGCCCAGGCTTCACTTGCTTCATGAAATGGAACATTTTGATGCTTGTCATACCTGTCCTTGAGAGTAAGGTGTGTTTGTTTTGAATGTTGGCCATGGATAAAGTTGCCGCAGCTTCAGGGTCTTGTACCTGGGATCCATAAATTCTGTAGAAACATTTCTATGTGATACCTACTTTCAGTTTTATAGTAGCACTTTCTGCTTTTATTAAGCTGGTGAGGCAATTGAAAGAAGTGCTTGCTCTCGGCCTGGCTGATCAATAACAACGGTGTACAAAGTCCTAGCTGTATAGGTCATCCATGACCGCCTATCTACCCGTAGGCTACAGAGGCGCCCAGCCTAGTGTAATTGGGCAGAAGCCTGCTATGATCTGCCTTTCATTTCCTCTAGAAAATATTATGTCAAAAATACTGAGGCTGAATATTACAATTTTTAATAGTTAGATGAATAAGCTGTTTACTTCCAAGAGAGAGCCTTGGGATAGGGTGAGTGTGATAAGTAGAAAAACCACCAGTTTCTTACTGTGGTTACGAATAGTGTAATAACACAGCAAACAGTGTGGCAGAGAGGAAGACACAGAGCTGGAGAGTTAGCATTTTGTATGTGCATTGTGAGAAACAAACCCAAGTCATGACATAACTGGGCTAATCATTCGTACGGAAAATTAATAAGTCAACTATAAAAATTTAATCCTTGAAGGGGGAAGAAAACTTCTTTATCTCTTGAGATTCAGACAGCATAAATCTTAAAATTCAAGTCATTTCAGCCACGTGAAACATTAGAAGTAAAACCAATCAAATTTGCATGAGTATAAAAATGGCCTCAAAATTTCCAAATACTTGGCCAACTGCTTAAATAGTATATGTGACCATAAGCATGCTACTTAACTGCTTCTGGCCTCAGTTTTCAGTTTATTGAAAGGATTTAATGAAAAAAAAACAGTAATATTAATACTCAGTAAATCTTAGAAATTGTTATTTTCTCTTAAAAATAGTGTTTCTTAGTGTTTCAGGGAAATTATCATAATGTACCCGCTGTGTGGAAAACCCCAGAGACTAAATCAGAATCCCATTATGAGTTGTTTTTACCTGACCACGGTTCCAGACGTTAGGGATATTTTTCCCCATGCTTTGTTTATATGGTTTGAAATTAGGAAACGTATTAGAAAATATATGGCAAAAAGACTTGAATAATTTGATAAACTATTCCACATGCATAATAGGTAGCCCCAAACCAATATTTTAACAGAAATAATGCTCAATTTGTGATGAATCTAACAAAGGAAATTAATGTGCAGTATATTAAAATTTTAATAGCAGTAACAGCAGGAGCAGACGTCTCAAGTCCTGGAAGATTCTGGGTCTTTCTGGGACAAGCACAGAGGTAGGAATCGACACTGCAAAGTGTTATAACCTTATCGACCTGTCATGGCACAGGATAGAGGGTTACTGTGCTGAGCTTGTATGAGTAAGCTCACTCTGTTCCTGTCTTATGGTTAATCACCTTTCAAATGTTGCTGTTGGTATTTTCCTCAGTTATGCAAACTACACAATATTTTGCTGAGCAATGGACATACACATGTAGAAGCCTATGTGTGAAAAAGCCTGCTGGATTAAAGTCATTAAATCATTCCATTGGGAGGGTGTCATAACCACCACATGTCGGACTACCACAATAATCCATTAAAAATGTGGTTGCCCTTGCAGCCTCTATTCAATGACCTGGATACATGGATAGATTTGTTAAATGAAATGGATTTACTTTGCTCTTAAAATTCTGAAAAAGTAAGCAAATACTGTGAGTTCAAAAGAAAATGTTACTACCCTTATGTCTAAATGTGAGGTTAAATTCAATGAATGCTTTTCAGTACTAAGCATTTGAAACAGAAATGCAAATAGAAAAGTTGTTTTAAAGTCCTCTTAATAAAACAGATTACTGTGCAATGGGAAAATCAATGTTATTGATCTCAGCTATTGTCCAAGTAACAAACTTCAACTCCTACCATATCTGTTTAATTTGACCTTGAATAAGATTTGGAGGTAAATCAATTCCTGGATTTCAACCACAAACACTAAATATGAACAGTACAAAAGAGAAAAGAAGCATGTTGACTGAACCAATTGCCTCGCCGAAGGAAGTCTGAATTTATTTTATTGGATGTAATCTAGGCTGTATAATTTATCTTTGTGTGTTCATTTAATGGCTTTGTTGTTAGTAATTTTGTTCTCCACAGTTAGCCAAGTATCTTGCTGTGGATGTTTCTAAACTAAAACAAAATTTTGGAGGTTGTCAGTTATAGCTTTGTGAATTCCACTGATTTATTCAGGGCTAAAATTTGAAAAGCTTGTAATGGAGTAATGCTCTCCCATGGTTAAGTTATAAAATTGCCTCATTGAAAAGGCGTGCTTCCAATAATAATTATTCATCAATAACTTCATAATTCCAAAACAACAGGATTTTATGTGAACAGGATATAATGTTTCCTGGTTAAGAGTGAAGGTGAAATGATAATTCCAGTGATTTATAATCTCAGTTGTAACAATACTTGAACTTCTGTGATTCACATCTAAGTTTCATTGTCATCCATGACTTTGAGTAGCCATAGCAATTAAGAAAATACATGCTTATTTGCAACATAAACCAGGGAGATTATTTCTTTTTTGAAATGTTAAATCTGACATTTTTTTTTAATCCACTTCTGAATGAACCCTAGTATTATAGAGTGAGAGAAGAAGGCATGTATCTATATAATTGAATAGAACATCATATTTATGGATGAGATAGAACATGGAAATAAATTATTATAATACAAAATATATAAAAAATGAAGCATCAGCAAGGTACTGTAAAGAAATTATGGAAAAGAGATTAATGATTTTTTTTTCACTCATAGTTCAGTTCTGAAAACCTGATCCACTTACTTGTTAAAACACAATTTATCTTGACCTACAATAAATGTGGCTTCCCCCATGAGGAGTATTTTTAAATCCCATATTTCACTAATTTGCCAAGTTACTCCATCAACATATTTATTGGTTGTTTGGTTTATTTCTTCACTGTCTTTTAGCTTACTTCTTAGAGATTTATATGACCTCAAAAGAATATTTCCTAGGAATCAGAACATTGTTACTTTTAGTGACATGAGTTATTATATTTTGTTGTGCTAATGTACACCTTCGTCTAGTGTTCATGCCCATGACCACTAGCAATAGTAAAATCAGACTGTGAAGATGCAGAGAAGAACTGGGAAATTTAAAAATCATATAACAAGTACACAATAAACAAGACGGTATATCTAAAACTAATACATTAGATCTTTAAAATTATTATAGGAAGTGAAAGACATTTCAGTGTTTTGTCATTGCTTTTCTCTTGTGTTCCTAATAAATAACATGTTTTGCTGTATTTTAAAAATAATAACAGTTAATTTCACCATAATTTATGTCAAAAACACAGTGTTTTATTTTCTTTAAGTTGCAATTGACTATTTTTGTTTGTTTATATTCACTTTTTATGCCAAAAAATATTATAACTTTTAAAAATATTTAAAATATTTAAAATTCCATAATTTGAAACTAGGAACATAATGGAAGGTAAAAAATAGAGACATTAAATGAAACCAGGAATAAAGCAAAAACTGCATATCATAATGACCTATACACTTTTATTATTTTACTTATTATTATGAAATATATAGCTGTAAATACAATTTTGCTTTTTGAGCATGTACTGTGTATAGGTTACACTCCATTATAAATTTATTTTGTGCTCTACATATTTTGTAAAAATAAAATGTAGAATAACCTGAAAATTTATAATCAGCATTAAGCTTATTTAGTTATACAAAGATGTAGAATTGAGTCTTTAAATTGGTAATTTGAATTTCCACAAATTTCTTAAAAGCATGTTAGAAAATATAAATTTATTACTAAAGAGATTATTACAAGGGGCTAAGGTATAATTATTACATTTTGTTCTAGATAGCATAATTACTTTTATTAAAATTAAATTATGCATCCTGCTTTGAGACGTTTCATTGAGGTCCAGTTTGGAAGAATTAATTTAGTTTTATATTGCTTGTCCAAAGCAAGGCTCCTGGAAGTGGAATAATACAGATTGGTGACTGCTTAGCAATTTTAGCAATGAAAATTCTAAAGGTATTAAATTGCCTGGTTTCCTGGATCACTAGAGGCCTAGTCATTCTCCTTTGCTTTTTCTAGGTGTCCTGAAAGCCTTCGGCCTGAAACAGTGAGGCCCTGTCTGCTTCCTTGTAGGAAGGACTGTATCGTGACCCCATATAGTGACTGGACGACATGCCCTTCCTCGTGTAAAGAAGGTATGATCTGAAGCATTCTGAAGGCTATTCGCCTAGAACACCACTCACCAGGACCCCCAAGTTCTGACTGAGCAATATTTGTGATTTCTTCATGGGGCTGTGTAGCCTTGGTTTGGCATGAATGCCGTAAAATTTTGGTTTCCTTCTAAAAAAAATAATACAGCTTTAGAGGACTAAAGGAATGAGTTTTGTGCCAAAACTGACTTAAAATTCTATGTGATCCAAGTGAGAGGATTCTAGAGGTTATTAGTGTTTCCTTTAACATTAATTTTAAAACAATGTACAGTGGCCTTATGTATTTCAGAAAGAGTGTAAAGTGATCTTATTAGTACTCATGGCTTCCAACTTACTTGATGGCAAGCCATGGGACCAGATTCACTACAGATACAGTATGTGACTCAGGATAGGAATAAAGGAAAGATTTTGAAAAATGGTCAAATTCTACCTCTGCCAACTCTTAAATGTGCCATGAGGCATTTACAAGATGAGAATTTGTTCTCATTTTGGCTTGGTTTTCCTTTTATTACTCACAGACATAGACTCTTTAATAAATCATAGCAGGTACTTTGATAATTCTTTACCCTCAAGGATCAGGTCCTTTGTCATTACTGCTAAGAAAGATATCAACAACCTCCAAGTGATTTATGCAATAACTGAGTAAATTTTCTCTTCATGTCACAAATGTCATTGTCTCCTATTTCTTATTTTACTCTCCCAACAAATACAGATAGTTTTACTTAAATTCTTTTTATGTGTTTTTTATTTATGCTTCTTGACTTTAATTACAAATTCAATTAAGCATCAACTTCTATTTTAACTATTTTAAGTTGCCAGAAATTAAACCCTTAAGATATTCTATAATTATCAATTTAATAATGGATTTTTTAAAAATTTGATTGTAATTTTGTATAGTTGACAAATGAGTGCCTTTTTTATCCTTTGTTTAGTTTAAGTACCATTGAAGTATCAAATAAAATTAACCCACAAAATAGGGAAGAATAGAAAATTTTTATTTTAAAAGTCTTTAAAGCATCTAAAAAGCTTTTGGGTCAAAGGAGTTGGCATTAACTTTAAAAAAATGTTAACGGCATTAATGTTACTGACAAAACGATGTTATTGCTAATATTTTTTTTCCAAATTTTCTTCACTTATCTCCTTATTGTCTTAAAAACTATACAGGATATCCTTTGGTTTGGTCCTAATCAGCAATAGAATTGTACTATCTAATAGGTTAATATTTCTGTAGTAAATGTTGGTTATTCATCACTACAATGAAAAGGTTATTTATTACATGGACTTCATATGCTTGGAAATTTTATTCTTGATATTTTTATACTTGATGATTTTGCTAGTATGAGTGAGATAAAGCCATTTACTAATAATTCCAAAACATATGCAGTTACATTTATAATTGTATGATTAATAATCTGACATAAATTTAACATTTTTAAGTGAAGCTTTTGAAAATGGGGGAAAAGACTTTGCGTTTTAATTATATTGGGTATTTCCTTATGTTGAGTAAAGTATTTTAAAATAAAAGTTAATTTGGTCAAAAGTATTTCAAGGAATTAAAATAAAGTAAAACAAAAAGAAGAAGAAGAAAGAAAAGATTCCATTACATTGATTATTTGATAGACACACATAAAAATGAGGAATCATGTAAAATTTTCTCATTTCTTTATACCATCATTTAAAATAACTTAGGATATTGGAATTTATCCAGGAATTAGGAACCAGTTTAGTAGCCTATGAATTTTCTTCTGTTAAGTCCTTAAAATGTATTTGTGATCTTAGTATGCATTATATGAGGAAAGGAAAGAGGACAATAGATGTAACTTACTCATAAAAAGACAATTGAAAATCTAATAACATGATTTTTAATTGATCCCTGCTGATGAATTTTATAGTACTAAAAAAGTGATTTACTCTTCTCTGTTTAACCAATTATAAAATTTTAAAAACATTTATGTGACAAACGTGATAACTTATATAAGGGATTTTAAAAGAATTAGCAGATAGAAGAGGGAACAAATACTTTGTGAATACTATGTATGTGTTGATTAATACTCGTCTGTAATATATGCATAAATACTTACTGAATTTTTTATTGATTGATTCCTGTATATAACTAGAACATTGATGGCCCTGTAGAACAGACACAGTCCTTGACTTCAAGGAAGCTTTTGATATCATTTAAAATATAGAACTCTTCTACATAAATTAGATAATGTAGATTCAGTAACCAGGTTTAGTGGTAGAACAAAATGAATTCTAGGAAAGGGAAGGGAAAACCACTGTGGGAACAAATATTAGGGAAAACCTTGTTGAAAAGCAGGTAGAAGGGATCTTTTTGAAAGAGGGGACATAAGAGAATCCCAAGTAAGGCGAAAGGCATCAGTAAAAGTCTTAGATGACCAGAAGTAAGATGTGTTGTTCAAGAAGAAAGTGGAAACCAGCCCACTGGAGCTCAGAGTGTGTGGAGGAAAGTCAAGATGTGAAACTGGAAAGGAGAATGGAGGAAGGTAATAGAAGATAAAATTAGACTTACTCTTATAAAGAGGGACACAATTTTGCTGAACATAGGAATGAGTAGTGGGTTTCGTGGTATAATGGAATGAGTGGACTTTGAATAAGCAGATCTGTTTTGGACATCTGCCTTGGCCACTTAGCAACCAAGAACTTTAGGCAAGATATTGAAGCTCTCCAAGTCTTGGTTCTAATATCTATGTGTTGCTCCATGGTGCCAATGTGATAATATATGGTAAAGCGCTCATGCTTTGTGAACCATGGTCCAATTGATGTATTATTTA